AATTGTTTAATCTTGTGAAATTGTTTCATATAATACTTTTTTTGATGAAGTTGTTTCATATATGGTTGTGAAATTGTTTCATATAATACTTAATGAAATTGTTTCATATATTTCTCTATAATTTAAAAACTGTTTCATGTATTTCTCTAAAATTAAAATAATGAAGATGATAATATCTATGATTCACCCTCCACAATAAAAATAATTAATCAACCTCTCATAATTACAAAAAAATGAACAAAATGAAAAATTGTGATTGGTTGAATGAAGTTTGCACGATTTGTACAAATTGAGTGGTTTGCATTTGATCGTTCCCCTATATATATATATCATAATAAATAAACTCTCATCATTTTCATAAATATTTCAATTTATTGGGTTGCATTAGTTGTATAAATATGATGAGTTGCATTTGAAACAATCTCTCTCTCTCTCTCTCTCTCTCTCTCTCTCTCTCTCTCTTATAATCATTTGAAGATCTCATCTATGTGATAATTGTGAGAACTATTATCATAAGATATTGTTTTACATGATTTTTTTATATCCAAGGCTAGAATTTAGTATATTGATTAACATATATTTGTTTTTCATAATGTGTTTATTTCATATGTTTTCGGTTCTTAATATTAAATATTTTAGTTGTATTTTTTGTTTCACAAACACATAAATATATATGTTCAAATTGTGAAACAAATATACATGAAATAAATACATTGTAAAAACATCTAATAAACATATTATAACACCTTTAGACATAACATTTTATAATTTGGTCCTATAAACTTAAACTTTATAAATTATTCTATTAAAATTTTTAAACATTTTAGACGTCGTATAAAACAAATTTTGTTATAATATATTGTTATTTACACATCATTCCTAACAATCAACTAATTTTTGAATTCATGAAACATAGAAGGGAAATCAATCATGCCATCATTTATGCTTTCTCCTAAATAAAAAGATTCATTAGTCATTAAACAAATTCTAGAAACTAAAGAACCGAAAATGAAACTATAAAATAATTTTCAAACCCTGATTAAGAAATTTCAATACACATGAAGATAATACAACTACAAGGTGCGGTGACTCCAAGCTACCTGTAAAACAGGTCATCTTGAAATTAGTCGGCTCGCATAGCGGGTTGGATATTCATGTTAATCAAAAAAATGAAGATAATGCAACATACAAACTGAAAATCCATAATTAATCCCAAAAAACCAACACCCTTTTTCAAATCTTCCTTCTTTGTAACGAGGGTATGTAATTACATATATTCTACTCAAATACATCAAGTAAACAATCTAACAACAGATTCGAAAACGTGTGTAAAATGATCTTTATATCTCGTCTTGATCGTCCGACTCAACCGACTGATGCAAATATTCCCATTTGTTTTCTTTTAATCACTGGTGTGTAGGGTATTGCTGAGGAGGATATTGCTGAGGTGGATATTGTTGATGAGTGTATTGCTGAGGAGGATATTGTTGATGAGTGTATTGCTGAGGAGTGTATTGTTGAGGATATTTTTCTACATCAACATTGGCATGTGCTGCTGGTAATCCGATCGAAGGATGTGTGGTCCTTTGTGCAGTTGAAGATAAGATGACGATATAAGCAACAATTCCTAAACCTGCACTTAAAAGAGCTAAAACAGCTCCTGCTGCAAAGATTCCAGGTTTTGGAACGTAACATGTTATATAACCATATGAATCAATCTCTCCTCCTTCTCTATGATTCAGCCCTGCAGCTGCCAACAGTAAAAGTACGGCCCCCACTGAAGCTACCCTGGATGTTCAAGGTCATGGCAAGTAATTAGTTCTATTTATTTACTAATTAATGATATAATTAATTCACGAGATATACATCTATATATTATGTACGTACCATGAGAGTACAAAAAACAGTTTTGAAATTGGGGTCGAATTAGGACCACTTCGACAACAACCAGACCCGCCAAACGAAACACTTATGTAAATTCGTGCAATGATCGCGAACACGGCTGCTACGATTCCAAGGGCGAGAGCTGGACTACTTGGATAAACGCATGTATCGTCCACGATATAAATTTCAGTAACCTGTATACATATATACATGCACCATGCCCACAATTAATACATATATCATTATATAGAATCACAAAGTTATTCTAGTTTTAGTTTAACTAAACCAAGCTATATATATATATATATATATATATATATATATATACATATATATATATATATATAGATTTTGATTGTTACCTTAACCCTAGTGACCTCCCCTGCAAAACCCATGGCTGCCGATATTATTCCGAGCACGGCAGTTATTGCGCAGTACAGTAAATCTTTGCTCTCCATCTCTAAATTCTGTATGAAAGTATGGAGTTGTGCGTATGAAGATTGAAGGCTGTGTAGATGAAGAAAAGTTGTGAGGGAAACTGCATGTATTTATTGATGGATGATATCATCAAGATTGACGCAGACTTTGACTAAAATATGCAAATGGATACTAGAAAACAAAATCTAAATTCGAATTTATGTCGACCAATTTTTTTGTCAACTAATTTTCTTAATAATATGGGCTTTATTTTATTATTTATTTAATTAGTAGTCGACGTGTTTTTCTAAACCAAGCGTTGGTAAATCAAGATTTTTATTGACAAATTAGAACAATTAATAAATCAGCAATAAACAAATTGATTTAGATTAAATTCTAACTTAAATTAACAAACCTAACGGTTAATAAATAAAATTAAGGAAAATCGATTGTCAACAATTTCAAATTAACTTAACATTTTATAGCATTACAAGGATGTATGGCTCAGTTGATAACAGAACGGAATGACTTTACCCAAATACAAGACAAACATGGGGTTTGATTCCAACCTCGCCCCCTCCCTTCCCGCTAGCATCAACCGTTGAGTGGGTCATGTGACCTCACATTGTTGTCCTTGGAGCCAGATTATATGTAGAGCCGGTTAGGGTTGTCAATAATTAATTTTTTGTCTAAATTAACATTTTACGGTTAAGAAGGATTAACAATTAATAATGCATAAATAACAAATAACAATTGAAAATATATAAGCAATAAGATAAATGACTAATTATCAGTAATAATAAACAAAAGGAACCAATAACAGCGTATTTAAGAAAAAATCTTCAAATAACAAACAGAGAGAGGATTTGAGAAGAGTACTCTTGACGGCTGGGGGCAAGGGGTTGACGAGGTTGGGGGCACCATTTTACGAGAGGTAGCAAGATTCCTTTTTTCTTTCTTTTCCCACCAAGTTTTTGGCTCTCCCTTAATTCCTTGTATTTAGGGAGGAAAAAACCGTATCCGTGGAGAATCCGATATCCAAACCCCACTTTGAGTGGGGATTCCAAAGGTGTCCAAGTAGGTGAACATCTGTGAATTATTCATGATGAATGATACAATATTTATAATCAATGATAAATCGATACACAACTCTTGATGAATAATACACATGCATGATAAATAACTCATGAATGTATAGGACAGTACGTAGCACGTTCTTCTTTGTCTCATAGTTCACAACTTAAAACCAGTTTCCAATCAAACCCGTCCGTATATGTACTATTATAGTTTGTTTATTGACATGCCATGATAATTTAATATAAAATACATTTAAATAAAATTTAAATTTAGTATAAAATACTTTCAGTGAAGGAATTCTAGATGACTAATGGGCCATTTATTAAACACTTACTTGGTAAGTGCTTACTGGATAAATTTCTTCATCGGATAAATATGAGAAGGGTCAAGAATCTTACCGGGTAAGCACGATGAGAAGGATGAAGACTCTTCCCAGTAAGCGAGGACGACGGCTCTTACCCAGGTAAGCGCTTACCCAGTAAATTGTTGCATTCGATATGTTTTGATATACAAAAATCTTTATGCATCAAAATAAATTATAATGTTGACTCCTATATATAAGCAATTGGGTAAACGACCCCTAAATCTTAAAAATGAAGTCGACCTCTGTATCCACTCATCCCTCCCCGTTGACTATTGGTGATAAGTTGATAACACATCCTACTTATTGAGCAAACGTTTCTGTCCTTACATTCACACTCCCCGTTTCCAAACCCAAATTGACTTCCTATTCTAAAATTTGAATTTGCTAAAGAAGATATCGAAAAAACGATGCTATTTTAGATGTTTTGGAGTTTGAAAAATGTTTATTTTAATAATTTTTCTTTAAAATAGAGAAAAAAATGAGAAAGAAAACATAGCATACATATTCAAGATGCTCTAACCATTTTCTGGTTTGGTGTGTGAATCCGAATTCTATTCACATTTTATTTGTACAAAAATAGATCAATTAAGAGGCTGTTTGTCAAATGCTTACCGGTATGAGACATTACCCTCACTAATTACCTTATCGTATAACATTCTCAGTCATCAAAATGAATTGTTGGTAAGCGTTTTTAACCCAGTAAGTAGTTATCAGGTAAGAGTATTTTCCTCATTTACCGATTATCACTATCGGTTCTTGCTATTCTTTTTATTAGGTAAGATTCTCAGTTTTTTCCATGCTCAATTGGTAAGGTGGGTGACATCGATAAGCACCTACTTGGTAAGTGTTTAATAAAACGACCCCTAAATCTTCTCGAGACTTTTTTTAAGACTGAAAAAGAAGACCAAGAATTATATACAGCTTTACTATATAAGAAAGTATTTTGTCAAAAGTTGTAAAATCAATTACTATTTAACTATTAAGTAATTCTTATTAATACATAATTTTATAATTCAGATTTACAAACAATTATTTTATATTCATAACTTTTTAAAACTTTTATAAATTCAAAAAATAATTAGGTAACGTTTGATTCACAAATTCTAAAGAAATCTGATAAAATTGAAATGTTGAATTATTTGACCAAATTATATTCCCTTGTTTGGTAATCCATAATTTTAATTAAAAAATAAATAAACTAAAATTAATTAAGGATAATCATGTGATTTCGTATGTATCTGTAAACTTGATGACATCCTTATCTCTAAAATCACATACAGATGATATGTTAACCAAGATCAAATAATTATCACATTATTATGACAGCAAAATTACATAACGAATATACAGAGTGATGAATGTCGATGTGATTATCGTTGGTTTTCGATCATCACATCGCTATCACATCAAAATCATATTATAAGAGGTCTTTAACTTATCAAATCATTATCAAATTATTATCATGGCAAAATCAGATAATTATCACATTATTATCATGGCAAAATCAGATAATTATCACAGTATGGAGCTTAATCATTTGAGAACCCATTAAATTGTGGTAACCTTGATAACTTGTACATCATGTGTTATTTCAAAAAATACCACAAAATCATCAGATCCATCCGGTAACGACAATATCGGAGCACTGGATAAATGGTCTTTCAACAACTGGAAGGCTTTGCCCTGATCTTCTTCCTATTTGTACTTAACACTTTTTCTTGTTAGCTTGGTTAAAATTGTAGCAATATGTGAGAAATCTTGTATAAATTTTCTATAATACCCTGCCAGACCCAAGAAACTACGAATCTCGATGGGGGTTCTCGGTACTTTCCATTTCTCAATAGCTTCAATCTTTGCATGATCCATTTTTACCCCTACCTCAAAAACCACATGACGCAAGAACTGGACTTCTCTCAACCAAAACTCACACTTGGACAATTTGGCATATTATTTCGCTTTCTTTAGAAGTTTGAGAATTAAACGAAGATGTTCGACATGCTCCGCTTCGGATCTTGAGTATATAAGAATATCGTTGATACATACAATAACAAATTTATCAAGATATTCATCACATATCTGGTTCATTAAATTTATAAATGCCACTGGAGCATTTGTTAAACCGAACAGCATAACCAAAAACTCATGATGTCCATACCTGGTTCGGAACGTTGTTTTGGCAATATATTCGTCTCTAACTTTCAGTTGATGATATCCGAACCATAAATCGATCTTGAAAAAATAACTTGCTCCAACTAGCTGATCAAATAGATCATCAATTCTTGGTAAAAGATAATTATTTTTTATCATCAGGTTATTCAATTCCCTATAATCAATGTACATTCTCATTGTCCCATCTTTCCTTTTAACAAACACCGGAGCACCCCCAAGGAGAAGTACTCGGTCTGATGAAGCCCTTATCAAGCAATTCTTTTAATTAGGTCATTAACTATTTTAGTTGTGAAGGTGTCAGACGATATGGAGCTTTACCCACTGGTACTGCCCCAGGCATCAAATCGATTTTGAATTCCACGGATCGTTCAGGTGGTAAATTTAACCTTTTTTAATTTTTATTCTACATGATTTTATACAGACTTGTTGATAGGTATTTTCTATTTTCTTTTACATACTTTTAAATTAACTTTTTTTTAATTTATTATTATACGAATTTCTTGATTACCCAATTTTATACAAATTTATAAATTTTAAGGTGTTTTGAGAATAATTTTTGTACACTTTTTACTATGGGTGTTCTTACAAACAACTAAACCGCACAAACCACCCATACCGCACCCAAAAGAGTAGTTTAGAACTTACGCAGTGTGGTTTGCAGTTTGCCTTTTTATCAAACCGCACTATGCAGTGCGGTTTGCAGTTTTGAGTTATGAAACTCCGGTTCAAACTGCACCGCACCACATATTTTATACATTTTTTAATTTTATATAACACACATTATGTAGAATCAGTTATTATTTATGTAATATTTTTGAATTTTGTGTTTTGGACTTTGAGTTTGATCCAATATGACAATTTACAATATCAATAAATTAGTTGGACACGTTACAACTCATATGTCCAATTTAGTTTAAAGTTTTTTTTTTACTTTTAGATTAGTTTTAATTATGCAAAATGTATCTAGAAATTGGATCTATTAAAATTCTTTATTTTTTAGACAATAGTCACTCTATCGTTAATTTTACAATATATTTTTAAACTTATAATTATTTGATTGTAGGCATAAAGTGCGATAGGTATAAACCACATAAACCATGCGGTGTGGTTTGATGCAGTTTTGGAAAATGTTCAAACCGCCTATGCAGTGGGCCAAACCGCACCAAACAACATATGCGGTGGGCCAAACGCACCGCGAACACCCCTACTTTTTACAGTAAACAAAATAGCAACTTATGTACACTTTCTCGATATAAATCAATATGCATTTGTATAAAAAATTTGAAGGGCAACAAAATTATCATGAATTTTAATATATTTATTTTTATAAATAAAAATATAAATGATATAAAGTTAAAATGATGAACCTGAAAATTTGAAAAAGTTATATGTAAAGGTTGTCAAGTTATTATTGCCATCGTCAATCATTAATCCTTAAAATATTAACAACTATTCTAATAATGAATATTTTTAGCATAATATCATTAAAAAACTTACTTTTTTTATTTGTAACCTCCGTGCTTTTATAAAACTCATTTTGTTAATTTCTTTTGTTTTATTAATTCTTTTAATAGCTTTAATAACAAATTAAGAATACAAAATCTCATATAATTTTAGAGCATATAAAATGAAACATATATTAATATACGATTTCGTAAAAACATATATAGAACCATAATATTTGGTAAAACTATAAATACAAAAATTCCGTAATCAAACTAATACATAATTATTTTTATAAACTTAAAGTTAAACTGATAATCTATATTTATACAATATTATAAAGTATTTGATGCAAACTCTTAAAAATCATTTTTTATGCATCAAGTACTGTTTATTGATGTATATTACTTAAAATTCAAGATTACAAGTAAAACATACGTATATATAACTTATTAAAGTTTCATGTATGAATTCGTATAATTAACTGCAGATAAACATAAATAAATACTGGATAGGTATCTCATTTTAAATATAAAAGATCTAAAATATATTTATGATAATCATTGAATTCTAACAAAATGTTAATTATTATTTTCATAAAAAAATTATATTATTAAACCAAAAATAAATGACTTAATTATTAAATCTAAATTAAATTATAATAAAAAATTGAATTAAAGAAAATTACTCAAAAAAACAAGAACTTTTAAATATTTAATTTGATACTAAAATCACTAGATTTTTTTAAAATTTTATGATACTTTCAAAATTTTATTTTATTCAAAAAAATAAAAACATTATTGTTTTTTTTGTACCATATAAAATCGTATTATAACATCAACGGAGACAGAATAAAACGAAACATTAAAATCGTGATGTATCTCGTTGTATTGTGCGAGTACCCTTCTAGTTATATTATAAAACATTTGATAAAAACTTTCAACAAATATTTTCCATGCATAATATACTTTTTATTGATCTTTATTATTTAAAATTCAAGATTACAAGTATATTGTGCATAAGTACAACTTATTAAAGCTTCATTTTTGAATTTGTGTAACTAACTGCAGATAAATATCTCATTTTAAATATAAAAAATCTAAAATATAATTAGAATAATCATTGAGTTCTAACAGAATACTTAATTATTATTTTTACAAAAAATTATAAGTTTAAAACAAAAATAAATTAATTCATTATTAAACTTAAATTATATTATAATAAAAAAATTGAATTAAAAAAGTTATACAAAAAACGAGAACTTTTAAATAGTTAACTTAATACTAAACCAATTTAAATTATGATGGTCCGGAGAAATCTCAACCTAACCCAATTCATGACCCAACCCTTGTGGGTTGAGGCGGTTGATGAATTAGTAGTTACATAAATTTAACGAATGAAATACTTAATAAGACTTAAGTTTATAGGACCAAACTATAAAACCAACTATTTAAAAGGGTTACGATAGATTATAGGACGTTTAACAAGTTTTATAATGTTTTTTTTAAATAAATCATATTTTATAGAAAATTTTGAGAAGTGTCATGTAAACTCATTTATTTATAGGACATTTATGTACATATGACACATTTTCAAATAATGTCCTATAAAATAACTAATATCACACTCTATTCTAAAAACGTCTTAGAATTTTGTTAAGACACCAAAACTGTTATATAAACATATTGTAACACTTTAAGATATCAACTTTTTTCGTTCTAAAAAGTATAATGTCATGATGCTTAGACATTTTAGGCATCCTGTTAACCTAATGTTGTCGTAGTGAAATGCTATAACTATTAACATTTTATTTCTATTAAAGTACAACATTAAATGAAAGAGTCCTTGAATTGGTAGATTTGTCAACTAAATGTATATCAACATCGTTTAATTTTCTTCGGCATATTCACTTATTGTTGCAGCAAAAACAATTTCAATAATTTTCTCATACTAAATTCTTTGTTATCATTCTTTGATGGTGAATCTATTTTGGTAACATATACATTTAGCAGAAGAATATACAAACATAAACTCAAAAAACAATATATAAAATTTTACACATTATTGATATTACATCTATAATAAACTAGTATATTATATATAATGTAATTAAAATTTTGTCGAAGTTATATATGTTAGCAGCAGATTGGCGGCTTGGATTACGCCAAACCAACCAAATTCCAACTCTCTTAATTGACGGTTTGACAAATTGACAGATTGGATTCGATAATATAGAAGGGTACTCGTGCAATGCAGCGAGATACATATTGATTTTAATGTTTCGTTTTATTTTATCTCATGTCGATGTTATCATATGGTTTCATGTGGTTTTGAGAAAAACGATCATGTTTTTATTTTAAAATAAAATATAAATTTGAAGATATTATGAAACTTTGAAAAAAATATATCGATATTAGTATTAAGTTAACTATTTAAAAGTTTTTGTTTAGTTGTATAATTTCTTTAATTCAATTTTTATATAATTTAATTTGGATTTAATAATAAAGTAATTTATTTTTTATAAAAATAATAATTAAATATTCTGTTAGAACACAATGATTATCCTGATTATATTTTAGATTTTTTGTATTTAAAATGAAATGTTTATTCATATTTAATTATGTTTAATTGCAGTTAGTTACACGAATTCAAGAATGAAGCTTTAATAAGTTGTATTTGTGCATTATTTTCTTGTAATCTTAAATTTTAAGTAATATACATCGATAAACAGTACTTCATATATAAAAAATGATTTTTAATTTTTTTTGTCAAATATATTATAATATTTTGAATTTTTATTCTCGAGAATTTATTGAACTTTTAAGTTGTTAAGAGTTAAGAGCAAAAGAAGAAGAAAAGAAGTGAATAGTGTTTCCTTCCGTCACTTTGCGGCAAATTTTGTTCCCTTTCTGCCGGTGCTGACAACGCACTGCTCATGTTTAACCCATTTTTCAACGTATGATGATACATCTTATCTAAGAATCATGCTTAAAATACACTCAAAATATTATATTGTTTTTTATTTTTTTAATCATGTTTTCTTCATCATAAATTCAATGCCCTTACCTTCAATAATCCATCATCTTCCTCAAATGACTCGCTTTTCGTTTCTGGGTTTCACAATTCTCTGTTTCTTCCTACCGATTTCTGCCCAACTCCATAACACCCAGACCTTCATCGTCAGGATTCAAAACGACCACAAACCATCTGTTTTCACCGAAGTTCAACAATGGTATACTGCAACTCTTTCAAGTTTGAGTTCAACAAACAGAGATTTCCTCCATGTCTACAAGACTGTTTTCCATGGCTTTTCAGCTTCACTCACTCCTCAAGAAGCTCAACAACTTGAATCGCAGCCAGGAGTCATGGCTGTTTTACCCGACCAAATCCGCCGCCTTCATACCACCCGATCGGTTCAGTTTCTAGGGCTTGTTAATGATCAACCTAATGACCTTTTAAAGGAATCTGATTATGGTTCTAATGTTATTATTGGCGTTCTGGATACTGGTATCTCACCAGAATCATCAAGCTTCCATGATCAAGATCTTGGTCCAGTTCCTTCGGGTTGGAAAGGAGAGTGCATCGAAGGCGAGCAGTTCGCCGGAAATCTCTGTAACAAGAAGATGATCGGAGCCCGATATTTTACGGCTGGGTACGAAGCAGCTATCGTCAACGGCAAATCCAACGGCTCCGCGATTGTTAGATCGTGTAGAGACACCGATGGCCATGGAACCCACACCGCATCGACTGCAGCCGGAAGGCTGGTTGCCAATGCATCGATGTTTGGGTTTGCGGAAGGTTCGGCTGTCGGAGTGGCACCGAAAGCTAGAATTGCTGTGTATAAAATATGTTGGGGGGAAGAATGTCGGGAGTCGGACATACTCGCCGGAATAGATAAGGCAGTCGAAGATGGTGTTAACGTTATTTCCATCTCGATTGGCGGCACTAGTAGTCGGTCGTATGATCTTGATCCGATTGCGATAGGAGCTTTTGGTGCAATGGCAAGAGGTGTTCTTGTTTCAGCTTCGGCTGGTAATGGCGGTCCGGAGTTAGAAACAGTGACGAACACCGCTCCGTGGATCACAACGGTTGGTGCAAGCACCATCGACAGGCGGTTTCCGGCGGATCTTATCTTGGGAGACGGCACGGTAATCACAGGGGCGTCCGTTTCTAACGCCCCCATAGTCCCATCGTCCAAATTCTTTCCGTTAATTCATGGCAGGAACGCATCACAGGGGCGATTCGCCAATTCAAATGCCGCTGTTTGCATGCCGGAATCATTACACAAAGATCTGGTTCGTGGGAAGATCATAATTTGTGATCGTGGCGGCAATGCTCGTGTCAAGAAAGGCGAAGTGGTCAAGAACGCTGGCGGCATCGCGGTGATCGTCGCCAATGTGGCACCTCAAGGCGAAGGACTTGTATCCGACTCGTATACAATTCCCGGCATGCTGATAACGGAGTCTGCTAGTAAAAAGCTTCTTGGTTATCTAAACTCTACGAGAAATCCCGTGGCCAAGATGATCATTCACGGGACTCGATTAGGGGTCAAGCCCGCACCAGTCGTTGCATCCTTTTCATCAAGAGGCCCAAGTCTTGATTCGGTTTACGTACTCAAGCCTGATCTAATAGCACCAGGTGTTGACATCCTAGCAGCATGGCCCAACAACGTGCCACCTAGCGAACAACCATCGGACCTTCGACGGACAAGATTCAACATACTATCCGGCTCTTCCATGTCATGTCCACATGTATCCGGTTTGGCTGCATTACTAAAAGGGGCCCACCCCGATTGGACTCCAGCCATGATCAGATCAGCAATGATGACCACTGCCTACAATGACGACACAGAAGGTAAGCCATTGCTAGACGAACAATCATACAACGACTCTACCGTGTGGAGCAGGGGTGCAGGCCACATAGACGCCGGAAAAGCCGTTGATCCTGGATTAGTATACGATATAACAGCAAACGATTACCTCCAATTCTTGTGTGCAATGAACTATTCAACCCAACCTTTTCAACAACTTGCCCCAGAACCACTTACGTGCAACCGGAAGCAAAATAAGCCATGGAACATCAATTACCCATCGATATCGATCTTTTATGGTGAACCAAGGGGATTATCAGAGCCAGAAGTAGTAGTCACAAGAACAGTAACACATGTAAGCGAAGGTGCATCAAACTACCATGTCATTTTGACCAGCCCCAAAGGTGCGAATATAACAGTAGAGCCACAGACGATGAGTTTTAGTGAAAAAGGCGAAAAACGGACTTTTAAAGTTACGATTGTGTCTGAAACGGTAACAGGATCATGGGGGAGTATGGAGACACGATCGGGTAAATTGGTTTGGACCGATGGGAAGCATCGTGTCGTGTCGCCCATAGTTGTTATGTGGCAACATTTGTTCTAATTATAAATCGCGAATGTGCAATAACATAATGGGTTATCACCTTATCGGTTACGTAACATAAAACAGAGCCGGATTAAGGCTGAACAGCAATTTGCCTCTCCCGTTGTAGCATTGGTTTTGCACTTAAAGCATACCCAAATTATACAAGACTTTTGTTAGTAGTAGCGGAAATATGCAAACAAGCAACAAGTACAATGCGATAAAGTAAAAGGAAATTAAGAGAAATAACCAATTCAGCATACTAAATTTACTTTTCGATTTCTCTCCCGAGTTTTTTTAAAAGTCATTACCTTCACAAGTTCGGAGGGATCAAAAAATAAAAAGAAAATCTAAATATGGTTGCAAATACATAAAAAAAAATTTGTAAATTGATGGGCCCGCAAGTAACACTTCAACAAGTTAGGATATATTTAAACTAATTTACAGATTTGGTCTATGTACTTATGAATATTTTTAGATTTTCATTTTTACTTTTTAATCCCTTCATAAGCTAAGGAGAGGTAGCAATTTTTTTAAAGTTTTAGGAGAGAAATAATCAAGAAGTAAATATATACAACTAAAATGATTATTTTTTTTCTAATTTCCTAGAACAAACTATTAGAGCATTGGAAACAATAAAAACAAGTAAAACTAAGATTGATATACAGTAAAAACAGAAAATAATTAAATACAAATAATTTAATCCGAAAACTCTAGTTTTCTTGAAACATTTCTTATTTTATCGTATTTTCTTAGATTTATTTAATTTTTAATTTATATTCATATTTATCCTTTAGATGATATTTGTTTAATGGGTTTTATATTGCTGTGATTCATAATTAATCTTGAAATTATGAAAATATGATTTTAATCGTGTAACACGAGATTAGTTTTACGAACCAAAAAATATAATAATTCAAACTCATTTGTAATGATTAGAATGATATTCGTACAATACAGCGGAATACATTTCGATTTAATTATTTTGTTTTATTTTGTTTCCGTCGATGTTATAATACGATTTTATATGGTACTGAAAAACCGATAATGTTTATATTTTTTGAATTAAATATAAATTTGAATATATGATAAAATTTTTTTTTTTTTTTTTTTGATATTAGTATCAAATATTAAATATTTAAAAGTTTTTGGTTTTTTATGTAATTTTTTTAATTTAATTTTTTATTATAATTTAATTTAGATTTAATAATAAATTTATTTATTTTTTGTTTAATAATATAATTTTTTACAAAGATAATAATTAGTATTCTGTTAGAATTCAATAATTATTCTAAGTATATTTTAGATTTTTTATATTCAAAATGAGATACTTATCCAATATTTGATTATGTTTATCTGCAGTTAGTTATACGAATTCAAACATGTAACTTTAATAAGTTATACATACGCACAATTTATTTGTAATCTTGAATTTTAATAAGTAATATGTATCAATAAACAATACTTAATGCATCAAAAATGATTTTTAAGAGTTTTTGTCAAATCCTTTATAATATAGTGTAGATAATAGGTCATGGCCGTATTCGAAGCAGACATTCACCAAAATTACCACTATACGAAACTTTAACCTTTCTACTCTATAACATGAAAATACATAAATCCTATAAGTCACCATATATAATTAACTTATGCATCTGTCAACAAAAATATCAAAATTAAAATTATATCGGTACAAGTATCACTATTTTTTTCAAGTTTATACTTTACCTTTGATGATGCTTGAACTCTTAAGTTTTAAAAATGTTACCAATGTATTGCCAACAAAAGATCAAAATAAAAATTAGTTCAAGAATAGAGAACGGGAAAATATGGTCCAAAGATCTAGGGTTTTGAAGAATTAAACATAGATGAAGAAATAGGGTTTTGAAGAATTAAGCATAGATGAAGAAGTCAAAATCATCTAATTTTGTAGGGATATAAATAAGCAAATACTAACAAAGAAATAAAGAATTGATCCTTATCAATATTAGTTAGTTAGACATATATTTAACGGAAATGAATATGGATGAACATTGTGGGTCGGTTTGGGGGAGATAACAAAAAGTTAGAAGCTTTAATAACTTGTACTAATACATCATTATTTGTATTCTTAAATTTTAAGTAATCTACGTTAAAATTAGTACGTTATGTATTATAATTTGTATTTAAGAGTTATGCATAAATACTTTATAATATAAGTATTTATAAACGCTAAAACATGACAGACGGTTTACAATCCCAGCATAGAAGAGTAATCAACCTAATTTGACTTAATTTTACAAACAATGGAGAAAGAGATTTTTCATAATCAAACAATTCCTCGATGCTACCTAAGCTTACTAAATCACCCTTTTCTTTTTGTTTAAATTCTGCGGATATCACCAAGTTCCACTGCCCTTTTACCCTTTCTGCCGGCTTACAAATCCAATATCTATATATACACACATGCAATCTCCAAATATATCATCAACTTCTTCTACATTAAACATGGAGAACAACAAGTCCCATCTGTTTCCATCATGGACTATCATCATTTCACTTCTTACCTTCACCACCATCTTCCACCTCTCAACGGTGGATGCCACCAAAGAAACCGATACATACATTGTCCTGCTAAGCTCTCCCCATAACCGCATCTTTGCTCACTCGGAAGACCTCCAAAGCTGGTACAACACATTCTTGCCCGCAACCGCCGCCAACTCCGATGAGAAACCGCACATGGTTCATGCATATCGTAACATACTTATGGGGTTCGCAGCCAGACTTACCGTCCAGCAAGTGAAGGAAATAGAGAAAAAAGATGGAGTCATATCTGCACAGCCTCAAAGGGTCTTGTCTTTACAAACAACTCATACTCCTAACTTCTTGGGGCTACATCAGAATTTGGGTTTCTGGAGAGATTCCAACTACGGGAAAGGGATCATCATTGGGGTTCTCGACACGGGGATCACTCCTGGTCATCCTTCTTTTAACGACACAGGTGTGGACCCTCCACCGACCAAATGGAAAGGCAAATGTGAAGTTGCGGGGTGTAATAATAAGTTGATCGGTGTTAGGAACTTTGTTACGGCAAGTTCTGGTTCTGCGCTTGATGAAGAAGGACATGGGACTCACACGTCTAGTACTGCGGCTGGAAACTTCGTTGACGGTGCTAATGCTCTCGGAAATGACAAGGGGACTGCGGTTGGGATGGCTCCGCTTGCCCACGTGGCAATGTACAAAGTCTGTGACGAGAATGGTTGTGCCGAGAGTGATATGTTGGCTGCCATGGATGCAGCGGTTGGAGAAGGTGTTGACGTGCTTTCTCTCTCGATTGGTGGACCATCTATCCCTTTCTATCGGGATGCAATCGCTCTAGGTGCATTTGGTGCCATACAGCAAGGGATATTCGTTAGTTGTGCGGCAGGAAACTCTGGGCCGTTTAATTCTACATTGTCGAACGAGGCTCCATGGATTCTCACCGTTGGTGCTAGTACGGTTGATCGAAAGGTAAAGGCGACCGTAAAACTTGGAAACGAAGATTTACTTGATGGAGAATCGCTTTTCCAGCCTAAAGATTTCCCAGAAACTCTTTTGCCGATTGTATACCCGGGGATGAACGGCAATCAAAACGCTGCATGGTGTGCCCCGGGATCGTTAAACAGCACCGATGTCAAAGGAAAGGTCGTGATTTGCATAAGAGGCGGTGGCGTGGGAAGAATTGCCAAAGGACAGACAGTAAAAGATGCTGGAGGAGCTGCTATGATTCTCACCAACGTACAGGCAGACGGCGTTAGCACCGTAGCTGATGCTCATGTACTTCCTGCATCATACGTTGGTTATAAAGACGGGCTTACGATTCTAAATTACTTGAATTCAACTTCATCCCCTGTTGCTACGATCATATTTCATGGAACCGTTATCGGAGATAAATCAGCTCCTCAAGTGACCTCTTTCTCATCAAGAGGGCCTAGTCTAGCAACTCCCGGAATTCTGAAACCCGACATTATCGGGCCGGGAGTGAGTATTCTAGCAGCATGGCCCATCTCTGTCGATAACAGTTCGACAACAGACCCTTTCAATGTGGTTTCAGGTACATCCATGGCGTGCCCTCATCTAAGTGGGATCGTAGCGTTGTTGAAAAGTGCACATCCTGATTGGTCACCTGCTGCAATCAAGTCCGCGATCATGACCACCGCTGATTTGGTTAACCTAAACAGCCAGCCAATCGAGGATGAAACGGAGCTTCCCGCCAGCCTCTTTGCAGTTGGGGCTGGCCATGTTAACCCATCTAAAGCTAGTGATCCTGGACTCGTTTTCGATATACAACCAGATGACTACATACCATATCTGTGTGGATTGGGATACTCAAGTGCACAAGTTATGGCCATTGTCCAAAAACAGGTTTCTTGCTCAAATATATCAAGCATAGCTGAAGGACAACTGAACTATCCTTCATTAACCGTCACATTGAGTGCTGGTGTGACGAGATCTTACACAAGGACCGTGACCAACGTTGGCGATGCTAAGTCATCCTACCTCGTTAAAATTTTCCCAGGACCGGGCATGGGCATTGCTGTGTCACCGGCTCAACTTGATTTCTCAGCGGTTAACCAGAAGCTGTCTTACCAAGTGACCTTTGACACTACAAGCGGCTTTGATCCGACGATTGGATTCGGTGAAGGGGCGGTGGTATGGAACTCAGCAAAGCATTCGGTTAGGAGTCCCGTTTCGATCATATATGTTTAAGTGATGTGAGGATGTGATAGCTTTTCTAACAGATTCAAAAAGGGCAACATTTACCAACTGTTTTCTTCCTTGAATTTCTTTCTTTTTTTCTGGTTTATCATGAACGAGTAAGTGTTCAAGTTGTTTGATCATGAACACTTGAACACAATCGTTCTACACCTTGCTCCAATTCTTTGATACTTGTTATGAAATTTTTATAAGGTGGTAAATGATCCGGTTGAATTCGATTACCTTTTACCAACCCATCAACCTCTGGGCCAACTCAACCCGTAAATCGAGTTGAATGCGGGTTTAAACCCGCTGTCAGAAAAACACCGTCGTGAATAACGGCTGGAAAACAGACGACGGGTGATTTAACGGCAAAAATTGTTTTCTACTTTTCTTGATTTAGTTCCTAGATTTTCTTTATACCACTTTTTGGATCGTGTCTGCAAAAATTGTCGGGTTTAGTCCTTATCAATAGATTTTAATTTTTTTGATTATTTTTTATTTTTCAATTGACCAACTTATCAAAAAAAATTCACTGATATCAAACGGTATATATATATATATATATTTTCTGTTGGAAGGCTGAAAACAATAACAGATTGAATATTAAGGTTAATAAAAAAATGTTATTAGGTATTGTTTTTTTAGATGCGACGTGGCAGAAAACTTGTTACATCGGACCTTCTTAACCAATAGATATGCTGACTGGGTAGACTCGGTGCCTCGCCTCACAACAAACAAACGGTGATTCTTGGCCTCGCTCCACACATTTCTTCACATCTTATCTCTCAATCCTCCCAAAAAGAGTGATCATCAAAATGAATAATCAAGTTGATGATTCTTGCTATCAACTTCACCACCACCACCCAAGCCGAAAATGGCATCCAAATTATGCTTCACCGTAACCAATTCTCGCTTCTTCACTGCTCCTCTTCCAAGACCCTCTGTTTCTTTATCTGTTTCTTCTACATTATCTTCGTCGTCGAGGGTTCAGTCGAATAAACTCATTGGAAGAGATGTTTTGAGTCGACGCAGACTTGTAATTATCTCCCCAAGGGCCACCACTGATCAGCCAGGTTAGTTAGGGTTGGGTTTTTTTTTCTTTCCTTATTGCTAGAATTGATTAACGATGAATGATTGATGATGCGATGAACTATGAGATATGTGATTTTAAAGCACAATAACATCAAGCGTACAATCAACGGATTTCAAGAATGAATTGAAGAAACCACAGCTAAATCGATTTGGTAGCGATAAGTATGGGGGAATAAATTTACCCACTCGGATAATAGTTGGTTGAGGCATTTTGTCGAACAGATGGCGGTAAAAAAGAGAATTCTTGGTATATGGGTTTAAAAGTTGTAGATTTGGGTGGAGAAACTAGAAGAAATCTGGGTAAATAATAAAGAAAAACGATGAAACTAAAGGTTTCCATGTAGTAGGATGTTGTGTCAACCAAGAACACAATGAAGAGGCATTCGATACGAATACTGGAGAAACAATGATGAAATAACTCACCTATTGCTTTGATGTTGATAAACAATGAATGATTGATGATGAGATGAACTTGAGAAAATGGTTTCGGATAAGGTTCTTGTATTGGATTGAATCAAAGTTAGTTTACAAACGGATTATAAAAACTATATAAATAATCACTATCTATTAATCACAGAAAATACCCTTGAACTGTACAAGAATATATATACATTAAGGGCCTCTTGCAACTTAACACCTCTTACCCGGTAAGAGGATCTTACAAGGGTAAGAGATGAGTTGTTTACCCAAAAATACCTCTGATCGGGACTCATTGCTGACTGTATATCTGACTAGAGAAAGATTAGAACAATGCTGACTGCTATCAGCGATGCTTTTCTCCATATTTACCCCTCCATTTCCCATCTTCAAAACCATCCCTTTTGCTCAACCCATAATCTTATGCTGACTTTCTGATTGACAAATTCCGGTAACAACCACCTGAGTCAAATCTCTTACCATGATCAGGCCTCTTACCCCAGTCAGCACTTGCCCAAAAACTTTGGTAAACATCCCCTAACACTAATTGTGGCCTTTTATTTTAAGCATGCATGAACATAGATGTTGCACTGTCATGCCAAATTTGTGGAAATTCATTTGTGGTATTTATTTCAGGTCAAGTTAAAGATGATGTTGTTGACAGCAACATTATGCCTTATTGCAGCATTGAGAAACAACAGAAGAAGTCACTAGGAGAAATGGAACAAGACTTTCTTCAAGCATTACAAGTAGTTAACAATGTCCTTCTTTTCCATTTGTTTAGATGCTACAAATGTCTGCTTTTCTTTTCTACACAATCACATGCAATCATATGTAGGATACACACAAGGATGTCATGTTGTACACATTCACATGTGATTGTTAATATGGACAAAAGTGGTTATATGTATGATCACGTGTGATCATGTATAGGATTGTCAGTATACACACAACAACGATGCCGTATTATACACAATCACATGTGATCAGGCACCATCAGCATTTGATCATATACATGATCATAGTATTGTATATTGGAGAAATATATGGTTGTATGTATGATCATTCATGTATATATATATATATACATACACAACTATTCGTATGTATACACATGTGATTGTGAGAAATTTTTAGTTACGTGGGAATGAGAAGTTGCATCTAAGTGACGTGAGGATTTCTGTTACTGGTACAAATTCAATCAGGTTATGTTTGGTTTGCAGGAATGAAATGGATTTAGGGGGATTTGGAATTCAAATCCATTCCAATCCCATGTTTGGTTTGCAAGATTGCTCAAATTTGAAATCCTAGGATTTCTTTGAGATCCATCAAACATAGGATTTTGAAATCCCAAGGGGGAGGTTGGGATTTCATGGGATTTTGTAGGATTTGTATATAATAATGTTTAAAAATATGTTAAAAAAATTTGTTTTCTAATAATCAATTAATAAAAAGGTAATTTAATTATTTTTATAATTATTTTTATAATTATTTATTATTTGTTATTACAAATTATTCATTAGGAATGAAATTCAATTTCATTCCAAATCCTACAAACCAAACATACCAAAGATTCCAAACCCTTTCAATCCAAATGCTTCCAATTCCAAATCTTTTCACGAAATCCAAATCATTCGAAACCATTCAATAAACCAAACGCCCCCTCATTTCTTTCCACACTTCTACTTATTCTTTCCGTTCTATATTCACCATGTGTTGGTCTTTGCTCTTGCTACCTGTTTACTCACACTTTTGCACAAGTTGGGAGTCTTCACAGAAACAGCCTCTCAACTCTTTTGGGTAGAAGTTAGGACTGCTTACATCTCACCCCCAGACCCTACTTTCGAGTGGGATTTACCGGTTCGATTTGGTTCTGCATCTTCATTCACAAATAATTTAGTTTTCTTTATATTTGCTACTAATTATACTCTTTTCTTTTGCAGTCTTTCTATTATGAAGGAAAAGCTATCATGTCAAATGAGGAATTTGACAACCTCAAGGAAGAACTGATGTGGGAAGGAAGCAGCGTTGTAATGCTAAGTATGGATAACTTGTGGTTTCAACCTATTGATCTCTTCATGTGATCAGGTCTTCTGTCAACTTGCTAGCATGTGACGATTTTGATTTCTATATGTTGCAGGCTCTGATGAACAGAAGTTTTTAGAGGCAGCAATGGCATATGTATCTGGTAACCCAATAATGACTGATGCAGAGTATGACAAACTGAAGATGCAACTAAAGGTATGTGAAACAATGCCTTGATATGATAACCACATTTCAATCGGTTTACAATAAGATCTTGCATTCAAATAGAAACTGCCAAAATGTTACAAACCGTGATAACCAGCTTGTATGTGTTGTTTCATGGATGAAACAGCACAATGTGAACATGCAGTGTTCATCAAGTGTTCTTTCGTGGATGAGACGTCAAGGAATGTTTTGCATGCGAAAAAATACAAAAATACTTCTATACATGAAACAGACACACGAAAATCAAACTCATTGGATGGTTTTGGTTGATTTTCACGGGTTTGGTTTTCACACGTGTTGTTTCATCTACAAAACAATACATGAAACTAGTTTTCACAGTTTGTAACATTTAGCACATTTTTATTTGATTTGTGGCCTATATAAAGGGTCTATATGTGTGTGTGTGTGTGTGTGTGTCTTTTTCTCAGGTGCTTGTGTTAGAAAGTTGACACTACAGTCTATAAACGAAACCCAACATGTCCTACTCGAAAGTAGGGTCTGGGGTAACGATGTATGCAACCTTACCCCTATCTCAAAGGGTAAAGAGGTAGTTTCCATGGAGACCCCTTACTCTAGAGAGGTTTTTGCGAATAAGATTTTGACGACTCAGATAGCTTGTCACGAAAAGGATTTGACAATTTTATAGACCACTGTATTATACTGAATAATGCTACAAGTTCTATGTTTATTTATGCTTTAGCATCTATTGCTACAAACTTCAATTAACATTCTTTCAGAAAGATGGAAGTGACATAGTGGTTGAGGGTCCACGATGCAGTCTTCGTACAAGAAAGGTATTGCCTTTCTGATCCATCTGCAGATACTCTTGCTTCCTGAAAACACAATGTTATATTATAACCAAAGTTAATCTGTGGCAAGATTCATAGAAATCGTCCTCGTCAATAATGATTCCTGTTTAGAATTATATTTCGTCGTCATTCATGATTTTTGGTTGTAGGTTTACAGCGATCTCTCTGTTGATTATCTCAAGATGTTCCTCATAAATGTCCCTGCTGCTGTTGTTGCAGTTGGATTGTAAGCCTTATTTTTTTCACTAGGATTCGGGTTTATAGTTGATTAATTTAATTCTCTATGCTAATAGTTGTTATATTTGAATTTTTTTTCTTTTTGGTGAACATTTCCTTTGCAACTTAAACTCTTATTCCTTACTTATGTTTGTGTATGACAGATTCTTCTTCCTGGATGACATTACTGGGTTTGAGATCACATACCTTTTGGAGGCATGTGTTGTTACTTATATATTACCTTTCTTCTCCATATTTCATTTTATTTTATCTTATCATCTGTTGGAGGGCTGGGCGGTTCAAATAAGAAGGTTAAATATCGTGAAAATGTAAGAAAGGAAGGTTAAGGAAAGGTTCATATGTTAGTAATTAAAAAAAATCTATATGAAGATGCATATGTGAACCCATTGAATAATCTGTAACGTTGGTTCACATATGCATCTTCAAATAGATTTGTTTATTGATTCACATGTGAACCTTCTCTTCTTACCTTATCACAATATTTTAGCCTCTTTATTTGAACCATCCGGTATTCACTATTTGTATGGGTCATTTAGGGATATGACCTTAAATGAGTTTTTAGTTAAATTTATGACCTCCTGGCCTATATAAGAAAAAATAGGTTTATACTCATTAGAAGGTCATAGATTGAACTACAATCTCATTAAGGGTATATTCCTAAAAATCTCCTATTTGTATTGTTCTTTTTTCTGTTCTCCAAGAAAAGAAATCTTGGAAATAAATAGTGATTGTTAATGATAGCAGTTGCATGGTATTATTGTTCTCTTTTTCTTTGTGAAGTATTTATTTTTCAGTTCTGATAGCGTAAATTTTGTTCATATTTTTCAGCTCCCAGAGCCATTTAGTTTCATCTTCACCTGGTTCGCTGCTCTGCCCTTCATACTGTGGTTATCTTTCTCATTTACCAGTCTCATTGTGAAAGACTTTTTGATATTGAAGGTACGGTCTTTATCATCATTTCAGGTCTTATGAAGCCTAGCGAAGTTGTGCTGGTTGACCATGAGACTAGGGGCAATTTCGTAATTTTGCCTATGAATTAACTTACCATCTTCAACGACTAATACAAAGTTCACATTTTCAGGGGATTTGTCCAAACTGTGGTACAGAGAATAATTCATTCTTCGGAACCATATTGTCGATTTCCAGTGGGGGTACCACCAACAATGCGAAATGCACAAAGTAAGTTAATGACTTGTAACCCTAATCATCAATCTTGTTAAGTAATCCACATTTTAGGATGACAAATAGCATTGTGTTTTCAGCTGTCAAACTGTACTAGTGTTTGATCAAAATACTCGCTTGATAACGCTGCCAGAAGGAAGTGAAGCTTGACTGGAAGCAGGTATCCTCACAAACCATCCTCTATTTCCATAATCTTAAATCAACTTTAGATCAATAGAGCCGCTTACATTCTCTCAACAGAGCCCACTGCAACAAAATTGTTTTGTAGGATGTCAAATGTGTTTTTTAATTGGGAGCGACAAGTTCGGAAAAAACTTGGCTTTCTACGTAAAGCTCCCGTTTAGAAGCATATTGAATAAGTCACTTTCTATATCATTAAGCCACTACCAAGCACTCATGTATAGTTGGCCGAATAAGCTCCGAGTCCCATTAAGCTCATTAAGCTGCTAACAAACATGCCTTGAATGTCTTTATAAACTGCTTTATAGGACCTAGGTTTATAGTACCAAACAATTATGCATTGTGTAAAAGGTGTTATAATCAATCGATAGGACGTTTTTGGGCTTCCTAATACAACTTATTATAACTTGTTTAGGACATTTTAAAATAAAAAGTCCTATTAGTTTTTTATAAGAATATTCGAAAAGCATTTTATAAAAAGATGTGTTCATAGGACACTTCTTAAAATTGACCTATAAAATAGTTGATAACACATTATCTTTCAAAATTCTTCTAAAAAACTTGTTAGGATAGCCTAATACGTCCTAACATCCTATTATAACACATTTAAATAGGATACACAATTGTTTTTTTTTTATAAATTTTAATTCCTATAAAGTAGTCTATTATGAGATTTTGACATCCTATAAAGTCGATTTTGTTGTTGTAGCCGCTCTTCTCTTTGTGGTAGGATCCTTTCGGTGGTAGGAGAGTGGTCTACTTACATCTAACTCAAAACCCTACTTCCGAATGGGGCATACTAAGCGTGTTTGGTTTTATTTATACTGTATTAAAACATTTGACAAAAACTCTTAAAAACATTTTTTTATGCATGAAGTACTGTTTATTGATGCATATTACTTAAAATTCAATAGTACAAGTAAATTGTGCTTAAGTTCAACTTATAAATTTATATTTCGTTGAAAAATAAAAATATTATTGTTTTCTAAAACCACGTAAAACCGTATTATATCGACAGAGAAAGTGAATAAAATAAAAAATTAAAATCTAGATATATCTTGTTGCATTGCGCGAGTACCGTTCTAGTACTTCTAAATACATATGAAGTTAACCATTGCAATTTTTCAGGATGGATGTCATGAATGCAGGACGATCAATGACCGTATCAAATTGTTGCAAGACAAGATGCATATAGGCATATGCTGTTGTGAATGTTCGTAGGTTGTCTTTTACTTTTTCCAGATTATTGGAGGACGTATATATCTTTTATTAGACAAGGGTTCGATGAATGTGTGTTCGCAATCGACCATAGTCGTGTACATACAATATGGAAGTGCACACCATGTATCTCATATGTATATTCGAATTCGATACAAAGATAATATTAACAACATTAAACCTGCTCGTACCTTGTCAATTGCCTACATGGCACAAATCTCGTTTTGAGCAGCATGATGATCTAAGCTTGCTTATGTAACCTCAGGTGCATATCATGCATCGGCTGTTTATCAGCCGAGCACTTGGACCCTGGCCCACGCCATGTTGTATGGGGACGAGTCTGCCGCTTCAGCCATGGGTACGAATTGTCTAAGCATGTATTCTACCGTAGATGGCTGATACTAATCACATGCGACTTGAAAATAATAGTCAGAAACTGGTGACTAACGGGTATGGGACCAATACAGCAGCATTAGTTCGACGATCTTTAGCAATGGATATGCGGGTGGGCAGTGTTATCAGATTCGTTGTGTCCAATCTCCATGGTGTTCCCATGGTGTGGCCACGGTCACAGCGACAAACCTCTGCCCACCCAACTGATCCCAGGACTCTGAACAATGGTGGATGGTGTAATCCCCCAAGAACCCATTTGAACATGGCTAAGCCCGCCTTCATGCAAATCGCACGATGGAAGGCCAGTATGTCCCCGTCATGTACCGCAGGTAAACTTCTGTCTTTTCGATCAGATGCATTTGATAAGTTGTACCACTACAATGAAATGGGTTTTTTAGAGTGTCCCGTCCTTTGGCGACCTGATAGAGTACTTAATAGGATTTAAGTTTATAAAACGATAACTTTCAGTTATATACTAATGTTACAATAAGTTGTTTGGACGAGATTGACTGATCTAACAAGTTTTATCGAGGAAGTGGGACAATCTAATAGGATTATAGGTCACTTTTCAAAAATGTCATATAAAAAGGTCAATTAGATGATTCATTTCTTATGTCTTATTAGATTGTCCAACTTTGTCGATAAAACTTGTTAAATCACTTAATTTCCTCTAAATAACTGATTGTAACCTTATATATCACGTACAATTGTTGGTTATAAAATTAAAAGTCTCCTTAAACACTCTCTCAAGACGTTATAATGACTTCTACAATGTTTGCTTTGTTGCAGGGTACCTTAAAAGTGGGATGAAGTTTTCTTTGCAAGGAAATGGGTATTGGTTGTTGGTGACGAGTTAGTTCCGAAAAGCTAACTGCTAGCTGAAAATATAACTTATAAACTAAACATGTTTGAAAAAATTAATTGATAAATTTAAAAACAACAAAAAATGACATGTTTAAAAATTACTCAATTTTAACGTTGTCTATATTCTATTATAAATCATTTAGGTTTTATATCTTAAAAACTATTAATTCTTCAAGAATACAATTATTAAAGCATTATGTACAAATCAATAATGCATACAACATTTTTTAGTTTTTATAATATTCCTTTTTTACCATTTTTTGTAATCAATGAGGATGGAAGCATTATAAAAATTCGATGTTACCCTTTCCACATGAGTGGACGGAAACCCGCATATTTATTTCAATCAATTATTTTAAAAATTAAACAAATTATATCATGACACTCGTATTGATATATGTTCTTTTTCAAATTGTAACTCAATTTTAATATAAAATTCAATCAAGGATATATTTACGTTCAAGTATATTCATACAATATTCCATATGGGTGGACGGAAACCCGCATATTTATTTTAAAATAATATATTTACGTTCAAGTATATTCATGCAACTGGCATCGGAATATCCCTCTAAGATTCCTGGATGTGTAGGATATATCAACTCTATATCCCTGGTTCTTTTTAAGTAGCCCAGTATTCTGTTAATTGTTTTCCAGTGATTTGGCAGATTGTTAGTATATTGACTCAGTTTATTCACAACAAAAGCAATGTCCGGTCTAATACAATGCATTGCATACATCATGCATCATATTGCACTAGCATATTCTAGTTGAGCCACTGCGCTACCAATGTTCTTATCGAGTTTCACCAACACCAACTTGATTATTGCCAAAAAATCCATACCCTCTTTTCCCATCGATGACCATAACCACATACCCCTCTGTGTCCCTGTTGATGTCATGAACTAAACCAGAAAGACCTTTCCCCATGTTTCCTTGTCGATGTCACAAATTGAACTAAAAAACCCATCTTTATGTATCCCCTGATGTCACAAACATAAAAAATAGCACCCTCCCCTGCTTCTCTATCAATGTCGATAATATAACCAGAAAGCCCTCCCCATGTGTCCCCATCGATTTCACTAACTAGGATTCTGCAACGGGACTAAGGGTTTGTTACGATTCTGCAAATGAATGGATGAATGCTAATTACGATAAGGGTGGAAAAATTGTTAGAGGTTCGGTGTGTTTGGAGGAAGAAAGGAATATTTGATTTAAGTCTCGAGGTGTTTCAATTAAAAGACGAAAATTCTTTGTTATGGGTTTGAGGGTGTTTGGATGAGTTTTAATTTGTAAGTGGATTTTTTTAATTTTAATTGAAAATTAAGAAAATAGGTAAAATTACTAAAATATTCCTCGTTAAGTTAGAATTAATGGAAAAAATTAATTGTCGTTAGAAGGGGGACTAAAACTGTTGTGGAATGATAGACATGAGAGACCAAATCCGAGTTTTAAAAGTTTAGGGACGATATACATTGAAATTAACAAACTTTAGGCACCAAAAGTGAAGTTTACTCGGTCCCTATGATTATCGATTTCCGCGGCAAAATCCCTATCCGTTCACCGTTCCCGGGTAAATAACCGGCCGCTATCTATAGCCGTCGTTCATCTTCAGTCAACAAACTCCAACGAGATGAACAATCAATCTTCATCTCAGAATCAAAACCCCACAACCCCATCATCTAAAATCTCATCTCTAAACTATTACCACCCATCTCCATCACGCACCATCTACAGCGACCGCTTTATCCCTTCTCGATCCGCCTCCAATTTCGCTCTATTTGGTATATCTCCTCCGCCGACGTCCGACGGAGGCCATGGAGATGACACTTCTTCTTCTTCCTCCAACTACACTGCTCTTTTGAGAAACGCATTGTTTGGACCAGATCTGGGCTTTGTTCCTCCCAGTACGCCTGATAAGAAGAACTTTACGATCGCTACTACTACTCCGGTAAGCCGAAATATTTTCCGTTTCAAGAGTGAGACTAGGCAGTCTCTGCATTCGTTGTCTCCGTTTGGCGTTGATAATCAGTTGCCTGGGGTTAGTCATAGACCTGCTAAATCTCCAAGAATAGTTCCCAGGTCTCCTTATAAGGTTAGTTATCCAATCAATTACTCCAATTTTTTGCTAATTTGATGGCATTGGCTTCTAATCATTTGGGGGTTTTAGCACCAAAAGCTAAATTTCTGATTGATTTATTTGATTTCTTCTGTGGGTTTTGACCAGATTGGTTTTTTTCAGCACTGAAGGCTTAAGTGCCTAGGGTTATTGAATATCAACCATTTTTGAGGATTGGGTATGTACTTAATTTTTGTGATCTTTTTGTTTGATTTTAGGTTTTGGATGCACCAGCATTGCAAGATGATTTTTACCTTAATCTTGTAGACTGGTCTTCTCATAATGTCCTGGCTGTGGGATTGGGCAATTGTGTATATTTATTGAACGCCTTTAGCAGTAAGGTATAAGTTATAACTTGTACTAATGTAGTTTTTATGATTTCGACTTATTAGATCATGTGTTTCTTCTAAATATTTGTTCAAAAGTTGAAGTTTCATGACAATGCAGGTTACCCAGTTGTGTGATTTGGGTGTTGATGACACCGTCTGTTCGGTTGGGTGGGCTCACCAGGGAACGAGTCTTGCCGTTGGTACTAGCAATGGAAAAGTCCAGGTGATTATGATCGTTTGATTGTCTAGTTTATCTTTCTTTACTGTTTGTTGTTTATACAAATTGATTAATAAGCATTTAAAATTTTATGAAGGTTGATGAAAAGCATCATTCTGAATAAGATCTTATATCCATAATTTGCATAATTGTAAATGCATGCGACAATTAACGATTATGAAATGTTGGGGTTGGGTAAATCAGCTATTATAACAAATATTATTGGTCTAATATTTACATCACAAAATGGTTCAACTACCGCAGAGCCGATTATATGCTAAAAAGCCGACTTTGTCATTTCAGATATGGGATGTGTTTCATTGTAAGAGAGTAAGAACCATGGAAGGACACAGATCACGTGTTGGAGCCCTAGCTTGGAGTTCATCTATGTTATCTTCAGGAAGCCGGGATAAAAGTGTTCTTCAACGTGATCCTCGTGCACAACAAGATTTTGTTAGTAAGCTAAATGGTCATAAATCAGAGGTAAGCTACTTCTAAAACTTGGATGTCTTTTTCTTTTCATCACAAAAATGATCATTATTACATGCCATCTGCTGGCCTTAAACATCTTTGTCCGAATCATAGGTGTGTGGACTCAAGTGGTCTCATGATAACCGTGAACTAGCATCTGGCGGAAATGATAATAGGGTATGTAATCAGGTGTTTTTAATAAGTTTCCAAGCATCCTCTCCCCATCCTCGACCCCCTCCCCCCCCCCCCCCCTCTCCCAACCCAAAATCAAGGGAGGAGTGCTTCCTATCGCCAGCAAGAAGTGTTTATTTATTCTTTTTGTTTTTCTGCATGTCTCAGAAGCATAACAACTCAACTTCTGATAAGAACACATTTTAAAGTAAAAACTTCGTGATGAACACCTTTTGGTCCACTGATGCAGCTTTTTGTTTGGAACCAACATTCAACACAACCTGTTCTGAAGTACTGTGAGCACACGGCTGCTGTGAAAGCAATTGCGTGGTCCCCACATCTTTACGGACTTCTAGCTTCTGGCGGCGGCACAGCTGACCGTTGTATCCGTTTTTGGAACACAAGCACCAATTCTCACCTGAACTGTGTGGATACTGGTAGTCAGGTAATTAAATGCTCTGCACTTCTGAAACATATGTTCTCAAAAGATTGAAGCAAGATTCTTTCTTTTCTTTTCTTTTCCCCATTTATTTAACAAGAATTCAAGAAGAGGGTCTGTAATCTTTGTCAGGTATGTAATCTTGTTTGGTCAAAGAATGGCAACGAACTTGTGAGCACCCATGGATACTCTCAGAACCAAGTTATAGTATGGAGATACCCTTCTATGTCAAAGGTATGATCTTGTTTCCTGTTCTTAGTGTCAAGTAAGTTATTTCTCAACTCAATGTTGACAGATTATATTCTTTGTAAAAAGAAAGTTGCCAATTCTGTCATTTTTGTGAATTCTAATCCAAAATTGAAAGTTGGCAACTCTTATTGGGTATACATATAAATGTGAATTTTGAATGCAGCTGGCAACTCTTACTGGGCATACATATAGAGTTCTCTACCTTGCAATCTCACCTGATGGTCAGGTAATCTTAGTATAAGGCTGATTAATCACGTGTTTTCAGGCCGTTTCAGAAATAAAATCATGGGTTTTTATTCGAAGTTGTGTAAATTCGGTTGACGTGTTGTAATGATGGCAAATTTTAATTAACTGAACGATGGTTTTGCAGACGATTGTGACTGGAGCTGGGGATGAAACCCTTAGATTCTGGAATGCGTTTCCTTCTCCTAAATCGCAGGTAAAGCATACACTTGCCACTTTGGCTTTTGAGGTCAAAGAAACTTATTTTCATGCTATATATAGTAAATATTATTTAGAATATGAAATCTTGACACTAAATGTATAAATGGGTGCAGAATAGGGAGAGCAAGATTGGAGCATCATCATTTGGAAGGACACATATACGTTAATCAATTTTGATGAAAGAGAAGTTGTCTTCGTCGGTTATATCTTATAACTGACGAGACGATAAGGAGAGGTTTGAGAATCAGAGGCAAAAAAGGCTCATATTTTAAAGAGCTTTGTGATTCGATATAATCAAGCACCCTCATTCAGGCTTCATGGTCGATTTGGATTTTGTGTAAATAACTTTATCTAACCAGGAGCAGTGAATACGAGCGTTTAAATGCTCTTCTTATGATCTACAGCCTTCATGGAGGAAAAATCATAGTGTTTTCGGGGTGGCTGGATGCCAACCAACCCATCACTTTTGTTATTACACAAAAAAGTCCAAGCCTGAAGCCACAGACTTAGGGCTAGACCTGTCCTTTAAGCCCAATCACACAAGAAAACATAATTTAAGACTGGATTATCGTATGGCTCAATAAACTATGGCCTGACAAAGCCCGATCAGGCCCTCATCCAACTCTAGAGCCGGGTTTGGCTCAGGCCTGAAAAAGCACAAGCTTTTTCTAAATACTGGAAAACAGGCTCGGATTTGGACCAGGCTTTGTACATCTCCATGCATCAAAAGTTTTTCCATACAACCACAAGGGTGGTGTCTGATTGGTTTGAGTTTGGTTCCAAAGGTCAAAAGTATCTGGAGGTTTCAGGTTTAAATCCAATGAGGAATAAAATTTCTCTTGTGGCCATGGAGGTTCAAATGTGGTGACTCCGGGATATCTGCAAAGCAGATGGTTGCCTTGGAATTAGTCGGCTCGCGGGTTAAATATCCAGGTTAATAAAAAAAAAGTTTTTTCATACGGTTAAGATTTAAAAAATTACTGCTATTAACAGAAAGATAGCAGAATAAATCATTCTTTCAGAAGAAAGGACAAAGATGCCATATATATTAATTTATTTTATTAACAAAATAGATATGATTAATAATCGGGATATTTTAAAGGCACCCTCATTTTCTTAAATACATCTAATAAGACCCAATAATAATAGTTTTAAATAATTAATATTAATATATAATGTATAATTAAAGTTAGTTAATAATTTAATATTAGTAGTAACTAATTTTTATTTATTAATAGTTAATATTTACTTATAATTAATATTAATATAAGTTATAATCGAAAAAAGTGACAAAAAAGTTAAAAACTCTTCATAAGTTATTCCAACTAGTTTTTCAATAAACTAAATTTTAAGTTAACTTATTTCTATCCAAACATGTTTATAATATTTTTATTCTTATAATAATTGAAATAAAATTACAGAATTACATCAAAAAATTCAAACGAATAATATAATTATATAACTACACATTTTCAAGGGAATTAATACATTAAATGTCCTTATTATTTTTCTTTTTGTAATTTGTACAAACATTAGAATAAAATTAATTTTCAATAACTGTATCATATTGTTTTAAACAAAAAACTTTATCATATTTTATTCCTATAAATTGAATTCAAATATAACGACTAAAGAAATGATACAACTTGAACAGAGTTTAATATACCAAAACTCTCATCCTATTTTCTAAATAACAAATATTTGAAGTCTTATTTTTGAATTATTAAAATAATCCGATGTCATGTCATAGTTCTTTCTCTCAGGCAGTGTTCTTGATTAAATACATGATATTTATATATGATGAATATACAGGGATAAAAAAGTTTATGTATTAAATTCTTCTGTCTCAAGTATATCCACCAATCATATATATGAATACAAATCATTGGAGAGGGAATGCGTACTTACGTAAGATAAATCAATCAAACTCTAATGCATCTTAATTTTATTGGTTGGACAAGAATGAAACGTGTGATATGAGATTTTTATCCAATAAACGGATCCATATTTATGGATAATATAAAAGGAGACAATGAAATTTGGAGAGTATATGAAATAGGTCATTTAGATAATGTGAGCAATTGCTTCAAAGAACCTTAATTAGGAATGACACTACTATACTCGGTATCATTTTAGTTACATACGATTAATTGTTCTTTAGTTCATTCAGCTCTAATAATTCGTTATCAATATTTTGATCAACTCCAATGATGGTTGGAATCAAATGTATTTATCATTCAGCCAAGTTTTACTTTTGCAGCAAGGACAAAAGTGCCAAACATATCATCAAGTGATAGTTTGTAAAGGAAATTCATTGTACATTGATTCAAATATATTTAAACAAACATATATATATATATATATATATATATATATATATATATAAATGTTAGATAGAGGTGATATCTGAATCATGGCACCATACAATATTATTATATAACAGGGCGTATTTTCCAAGATCTGGAAAATATACATAAAGAAATTTACCACATGGCTTATTAAAATTATTGAGAGTATGTCTTGTTGAATCCTTCACCTACTTGGCATTGGCCAGATCTTCTGACCAATGAATCGTAGTGGATGGAAAGCAACAAGAGCACTCATCTCCACAAACATTTGGCATCTCATGAATTGACATGATAGGTGCAGGTTTAGCCAAGCACTGACCAGCTTCTTTAAGCGGACCCCAACATTCCACCCTGTTAAACTCTGGAATGTTAGAGTGAAAATATACCCAAACCAAAGCTTCTTGAAGCTCAGGATAGTTGCTCAACAAACTCCCATCTCCATGTTCAAATGCCTTCAGTACCTGTATGTATATATAATAGTAGTTGAACCTTATATAAGTATGCATTGATATATATATATATATATAGTTGTACATACTAAAAGCAAAAGGGTATGCATGTATATATATATAAATGGTTAGTACTTTATGCATGGATTGTTGTACGTACCAAGGGTAGTTCTTTGGTGAAAATAAAGAATCGGAGACGAGCAAATAAGTCGAGCAGGAAATGGCCTCCACTTATATGACAATGAACATGAAGAGACATCTCCTCTTTCACTTTTCTCCATTCTGCCACCACTTCATCCCTGTATAACTTGTTATACCAACCTTGCAACTGCAATTAAACCATTCAAATTACTCATTTGCCCCTTCACATTTATGATAATGGACTTTTTATACTTAATCAGTAAGCCGCTTTTTACAACCTTCAGATCATATGTTTAAGTCATCACTTTGTTACCACTTAAATAATTCGTTCATTACATTTTCTGTCATTATGTTTTAAATCTTGTTCTGGACTCGGTACTTGCATCATATGTCGTTATATTTTGTCCATTAAGTGAAAACTTGTGTATACATCTAATAACGTGTGTCTCATCTAATAAATTCTCATTTGTAATTAACTCGATTGGTGATGATTTTTTTAAATTGTCTGTTTGTTCAAAATCTACGATGTTTGTAAAACTTGATGATTTATCAAGCAAAATCAAAGAATGGGTGTGCTTTTTTCCATTACCACTTGTGTATATATGTAATAACACCTTAACGTCATAACCTTTTGTTTGTAATTTAGATCAGGATAATTATTTTATGTTGCTTAAGTTATAAGCGAAAAGTTATGACCTTACGAAGATACTACTACGTGTATAGGTACAGGAGTTGTAATTGAAAAAACATGATAACTTATCGATGAAATAGGTCAAGAGAAAACATTTTGATTTGAGTTATGAATGAAAAGTTATGAAGGACGCATGGATTCACAAAAGTTAACGACATTTGATGTAGCGACCGAATCCGGAAGAAAGCTAATAGAGGGAGCTTAATGATTAATGTGTGTGAATATGAAAATGGTAAAGGAATATATATAAAACAAAAAGTTGCACTGTTAAATGATTGTATATATATATACGTCCTTGTCATCTTTAAATAATGATTTTGAGTGTGGGGTATATATATACACAGAAATCGTTTGGTGTGACATATAAAAATCAAAAACCTGACCAAAATCCAATATTTAATTTCATCTGGGTTTAATTATATTCCGAAATTTGATTAAAAACAAGAACATCAAGTATTATTATACATAGTTTGATTTACCTGAGAATTGTTGATGTTTTGAGAGATGGCGAGAGTCAACTTAGAAGTAACATCGCTGTGTGTAAGGGTGTAGGTTCTTGGGAGATTCCCAGGATGCTTCGTCTCATCAACTCCCAGAAACACCACCTGCAACTTTGGAGCTTCAAAAATGGATGGCCCAAATAATCTTGCAACCTGAAACCGAATACCCATTTAATAAGAAACCCTAAAGATACTGAAACAATCATAATTAAACCAAATAGATTTAAGAATGATGTTTGATTAATTAATTACAGGTGAGTGAGTCTTCTTGAGCAGCTTTGTACTTCTTTTGCAGATGAACATGGAGCTTTCATGGTGATCAAGAAATGAAGATGATAATGAAGAAGAAGAAGAGGGGTTCAGTTTGGAGGGGAGGATCAGAGATGCCATTTGTTTCCAAACCTGCCCCTTACAACAAGTCTATATGATCTTTTCGAAGTTGTAGAATGGTGAGTTAATAGCACACACACAACACCAAGAACACACACACACAATGGAAAACAACAATTAATGAACGGGTTTGAAGTTGAATCTCGGAAGGCAAGGGTGGTAGCGTGTGGGCTTTAATGAATACAGATTGCTTGAAAGTCGAAATGAAGTTGGTGGTGACTGACTCTTGGTTGAAAACGTGTTGTTATAAATTGGGTGTGAGTTTGAATTATTGATTATATGAAATCTTGCATGACACCGATAACGAGGGGCACATGATATGATATGATATATTGATTGGTTTTAAACAACTTGGCCACAAAAAAATCTAGCTGAATTTCGCCACGTTTTTCTCTTACATTTTCTTTGGAAGAGTCGATACTAATAATTAAGGTGTATTGAAATGAGTGTTGCATTTTATTGTAGACAGATAACTAAAAATTAATACAATTTTCTCATAAAATAAGAAAAATATGTCGTGATATTAAAGTGTAACGTATATTTTGTACGTGAACGTGTTTATCAAGTGGTTTTATGGAATTCAAACGTGTCCTACCAAAAAACTGGATATTTTCGGGGGGAAATCCGCTAGAAAATTACTGGTGGATTACCGGCGGACACCAAAAAATTCCGCCGAGAATTTGCAGTTAAATATATTCCGGCAATATCTCCGGCGAATTTTACAAATTATTTTTTTACAAAATTATTAACTCTAATTACAATAATTTATCGGTGGATTTTCGATGGATTTTGATTAATTTTTTAAGATTAACCTCCTCCAATAATCCGTCAAAAAATAATTAAAATTTACTATTTTAAATTTCTGGCAGATACCGGTGGTTGCCAGTAATTTAAAATAATAAATTATTCAAGATTTATAAAAAAACGTAATGGTTTTCCGGGTGGTTCACTGGCTGAATTTTGATTGTTTTTTTTTCTTTTTTCATACTTTTGGTTTTATATATATGTAAAATATTACATACATTCTTAATGGATCATATTAGATTTTAGCAGTTCTATTAGGCTTTAATTAATGGATCGTATTGGGTTTTAATGGATGTTAGTTGTGCTTTACGGTTCTGTTGGGCTTTAATGGATCGTATTGGGCTTTAATAGATGTTAGTTGGGCTTTAATGGATCGTATTGGGCTTCAATAGATGTTAGTTGGGTTTTAACGGTTCTATTGGGCTTTAATTGATCGTATTGGGCTTTAATGAACCGTATTTGAATTTAATGGATCGTATTGGGCTTTAATGCATGTTAGTTGAGCTTTAATGAATGTTAATTGGACTTTAACGGTTCTATTGGGCTTTAATGGATTCATATTGGGCTTTAGTGGATGTTAGTTGGGCTTAACAGTTCTATTGGCTTTAACAGTTCTATTGGACTTTAATGGATCATATTGGCTTCAATGGGTCGTATTGGGCTTTAATGGATCGTATTTGGGCTTTAGTGGATGTTAATTGGGCTTTAACGGTTTTATTGGACTTTAATGGATTGTATTGGGCTTTAATAGATCATATTGGGCTTTAATGGTTCTATTGGGTTTTAATGGATCGTATTGGGATTCATTGGATCGTATCGGGCTTTAATAGATTTATTGGGATTTAGTGGATGTTAGTTGAGTTTTAATGGTTCTATTGGGCTTTAATGGTTCTATTGGGCTTTAATGGTTCTATTGGGATTTAATGAATCGTATTGTGCTTTAACGGTTCTATTAGGCTTTAATGGATCGTATTAGGCTTTAGTGGATGTTAGTTGGGTTTTAACTGTTCTATTGGGCTTTAACGGTTTTATTGTGCTTTAATAAATCGTATTGAACTTTAACAGTTCTATTGGACTTTAATGGATCGTATTGGGTTTTAACGATTCTATTAGTTTTTTTAACGGAGGAAAGTCGTGTTGGTTTGACTGTCACCTCAGTTTTCTGCCAATGAGACACTCGTTCAGGTGTGATAGGAACCAATTTCGTGTTGGACATGTCGAAAAAGCTAATCCACACCCTCTGCTAACTGGGAGCAAATATGGGCATAAGTTTATAGTCTTCCAACGATCTATGAAGGAGTCCCACGCAGATCAAGGTTATATAGGAAGCCTATAGGTTTTGGGGTAACATCCAATTGGGTAAAGAAGAGCTTTTTCTAGGAGCTGCCATATTGGCACACTTTATTGATCCAGAACAACCTAGATGTAATGCACATTGAAAAGAATGTGTTTGACCATCTCTTTCACACCATTATGGACACCCCAAAATCAAAAAACAACATAAAAGAAAGGAAAGACATTGAAGAATACTTCAATCGACCGAAGTTGCATGTAAGGGAGTAACGGAATAAAATCTTTAAACCAAAAGCTTCCAACACATTAAACAAAGAACAGGTGGGAAAGGTCTCTGAATGGTTGAAGAAGTATAAATTCTCATACGGTTATGCTTCTAACATAAGTGCATTAGTAAACGTCGAAGATGGTAGTTTCTATGGTTTCAAAAGTCATAATTGTCACGTGTTCATGCAAAGACTACTCCCTCTTTCTATAAAATGGATGGTATTGGCTCCAATATGGGATGTTATCACTAAGTTGTGCACATTCTTTCGTGCAATATGCTCGAAGGTGTTAGACATTGACGATTTGCTTCAATTGTAAACAAGTATAGTGGAAACTATTTGCAAGATGGAAAGAGTATTCCCACCGAGATTCTTTGATTCCATGGAACACCTTGTGGTACATTTGGCACATGAAGCAATAGTTGGAGGTCCGGTTCAATATCGATGGATGTATCTCTATGAGAGACGTCTAGGGTCGTTGAAAAGGACAATGAGAAACAGAGCAAGGGTAGAAGGGTCAATTGTAGAAGCATATTTGGTTAACTATCTACATATTGCTCGTTGTTTTTTAGAACAACGGTAGAGACACGGCTGAACCGTGAGCCTCGGAATTTTGCCCTCGATTGTTCATCTTCGAACCAATGGTTAAAGATATTTAAAACTCTGTGTCAATGATTATTTAATAAAGGCGAAACACATGTTAATCTATCGGATGAAGATATACATAAAGCTCACAGATACATTTTACTGAATTGTGAAGAAGTTTTTCCGTTCATAGATATCTTCAATACGGAGATTAAAAGTAGATAACTATATATTGATGAAGCGGGTCTCGACAAATGTAGAGGCGATCACTTTGTTGGATGATTTCATACCCACGTAAGCGTATACATATTAACTTTTATTCATCATTATTTATATGTACTTAATAAAATATTACAAATGACATGATTGTAGGTTATGTCTCGGTCGGACCCTGCTTCAGATCTTGTTAGGATTTTGGCATACAAACTGTTGCGTAAGGTTTGGAGATACCCATGGTTATTTGTAAACGGTTACAAGTTCTACTCGCTAGCTCACAGTAGAAATTGCACCACACATAATAGGATTTTGAAACAATTTAGTTTTTGTTTGGAACAATAAGTGCTACTTTAAATTGATCGGGATAATTGTTATTTAGTTTAATGTATGATATTTAGCGGCATTTCATTTTTTAGCTTTTTTTTTTAATATTTACAGATTTACAGGTTTTAAATATTTACTGGAAAAATATTTTAAAATTAATAATTTTATACATTTTCGGCGAATTACCGGCATATACATCCGCCGGAAATATTTATTTTATTCAAAGAATAAAAATAATTATTATGAAAATATAATCAATTTACCGGTGGATTTTCACCGGTAATTTAATTCAACTTAAAAAAAAGCTTAAATATTTTCTTAATTTAATCAAGCTTTTTTTAAATAAATCGGGAGAAATTTTCGGTGGTCGTATTCCGTCGGAAAATTAATCATCGGCAGCTCTATCCGCCGAAAATGTGGACCTGTTTGGTAGTGGTAGCTTTATAAACTTGTACATATCCAATTATAAGCTGTAACTTAAATTTTAGATAATTATATATTAATAAGCATTACCCAATATTTAGTATATAAGTTGTTTTTAAAAGCAATTATAAGTGTTTTGTAACATATATTATAAATAAATTGTAATAAAATCTAGATTTTAAATTTTAATAATTAACTAGCTGTGTACCCGCGCAATGCGGCGGGAGTCATGAATTTTAACGATTTTGAAGTTTCACTGGTTTTATAARACMAGATTTAACGATGATATAGGTTACACTTGATCTTTACATATTAATACAATTTGAATAAATAAGAGTTATGGTTCTAATTACAGACTATCGATGAAAAAA